AAAATCCTGAGTTTATGATTGGTAAAGACTCAAAATCATGAGTTTATGATTGGTAAAGACTCAAAATCATGAGTTTATGATTGGTAAAGACTCAAAATCATGAGTTTATGATTGGTAAAGACTCAAAATCATGAGTCTATGATTGGTAAAGACTCAAAATCATGAGTTTATGATTGGTAAAGACTCAAAATCATGAGTTTATGATTGGTAAAGACTCAAAATCATGAGTTTATGATTGGTAAAGACTCAAAATCATGAGTTTATGCTTGGCAAAGACTCAAAATCCTGAGTTTATGATTGGTAAAGACTCAAAATCATGAGTTTATGATTGGTAAAGACTCAAAATCATGAGTTTATGATTGGTAAAGACTCAAAATCATGAGTTTATGATTGGTAAAGACTCAAAATCATGAGTCTATGATTGGTAAAGACTCAAAATCATGAGTTTATGATTGGTAAAGACTCAAAATCCTGAGTTTATGATTGGTAAAGACTCAAAATCATGAGTTTATGATTGGTAAAGACTCAAAATCCTGAGTTTATGATTGGTAAAGACTCAAAATCATGAGTTTATGATTGGTAAAGACTCAAAATCATGAGTTTATGATTGGTAAAGACTCAAAATCATGAGTTTATGATTAGTAAAAACTCAAAATCATGGTAAAGACTCAAAATCATGAGTTTATGATTGGTAAAGACTCAAAATCATGACTCAAAATCATGAGTTTATGATTGGTAAAGACTCAAAATCCTGAGTTTATGATTGGTAAAGACTCAAAATCCTGAGTTTATGATTGGTAAAGACTCAAAATCCTGAGTTTATGATTGGTAAAGACTCAAAATCCTGAGTTTATGATTGGTAAAGACTCAAAATCATGAGTTTATGATTGGTAAAGAGTGATTGGTAAAGACTCAAAATCCTGAGTTTATGATTGGTAAAGACTCAAAATCATGAGTTTATGATTGGTAAAGACTCAAAATCCTGAGTTTATGATTGGTAAAGACTCAAAATCCTGAGTTTATGATTGGTAAAGACTCAAAATCCTGAGTTTATGATTGGTAAAGACTCAAAATCCTGAGTTTATGATTGGTAAAGACTCAAAATCCTGAGTTTATGATTGGTAAAGACTCAAAATCATGAGTTTATGATTGGTAAAGACTCAAAATCATGAGTTTATGATTGGTAAAGACTCAAAATCATGAATTAATGGTTGGTAAAGACTCAAAATCCTGAGTTTATGATTGGTAAAGACTCAAAACCATGAGTTTATGATTGGTAAAGATTCAAAATCCTGAGTTTATGATTGGTAAAGACTCAAAATCCTGAGTTTACGATTGGTAAAGACTCAAAATCCTGAGTTTATGATTGGGGAAATGACCAAAGTCACCAATGATACCTTCGGGGTCCAAAGGTGTTCTCATCCCTCCCAGCTGCCTATCCCTGGGCTCTAGTGGGCGACTCGGCTGCGGCGTGACCGTTGTGACTGCCACAGCCATCGGCTTCTCCACCACGGGCAAAGGGCCTTGCCGCCAGAAACCATGGTGGATGTAGGGGATGAAACCACATATGACTGTGAGTAGGACCATACCATGGGCGTGCTTAGAGGGAAGTGATTAGTTAAAGTTCTTTAAAATTCCTGAAATTTCCTTCAAATTGCTTAAAATTCCCTAAAATTCCTCAATTCCTTAAAATTCAAATTCCTTAAAATTCAAATTCCTTAAAATTCAAATTCCTTACAATGCCTTAAAATTCTTTAAAATTCCTTAAAGTTCCTTAAAATTCCTCAAAATTCCTAGAGGGAAGGGATTAGTTCCCCACTTTGAGGGCTACATAGGGAACCAAACCATCCCATCGAAAAACGCAGAAGAAACGCCACTGTCAGTGCCATCTTTCGCCAAAATGAGCGAAACTCTACTGTCGAGTCTGTCGTGGAAATGTGGAAATCGACGCTCTTGGTGCGCCAACCATTCTCCTCTGGCCAGTGGTCCAATACTTCCTGGAAGGCCAATGGCCAGGCTCCAGCACGGAATGGGTGTCTTCCCATAAACCCCATGTCTGGAGATGACCTATCAATATGGAGCAAGCCAGAAAATAAAAATGGATATATGATATATAGCAACCCCCAGTCATAGCCGATAGCAGTTGGAAACCTGGAAATATGAGATAGATATCATCGAACTACCATCCTGGTAATCCCCAAAAGGGTGCCAATTTTAGTGACCAGGATGGTAGTTCGATGATATCTACCCTTATAGTTCCAGGTTTCCAACTGCTATCGGCTATGACTGGGGGTTGCTATATAAGAGTCAATCATCAGAATATGGGTGCAGTATCGGTCAACACTATTTATTGGACCAATATCAACAATTGCCAACTGGTTGTTGGTCCGGAATTTGGGTTTAAAGCACTGATCCATGTCGCGCACCAAACCCTTCGAAATGTACCGCTACTGCCACTGGCAAACATATGTTGGTTGGTGCTTCCACCTGAGATATTTCGAACTGGATCCACTTTCTTCAACACAATGAGAAAGTGGGTTGGTCATGGTTTGGTCTGAAAATCAGGTACCATAAAAATCCATAAAATCCATTGGTGCATCATCATTTTCCCATTCAAAAAATCTTCAAAAAAGGGGTCATCACATCCCACATCCCACATCCCACCAGCCGATCAAGAGAAAACACCAAGTTTCCGAGTGAACCGATCCAGCATCAGAGTCAAGGTCATCCTCACCATGTCACCAGCTGTGTTCCCAGCTGTCACACGAGAAAAAAAACTGAGTGGGAAACCCCACTGTTCATGTGAGCCATTAACGATACCAATTTCATTATACTAGTTGGTTGATAGGTTTATGAATTCGTGTGACTATGGGAAAAACGGAAAATCCATCTATCAATTCACAAGCTATGTATGCCTCAAGCCAAGCTGCTCCAAAGCCAAAGCCATGGTCTGTTGTAGACGCATGTGACACCTGGCGTCATGTCCAGGGCATGGAAGAAGTGATGAGACAATACAGCGACCCCAAGAAAGATGCAGATAAAATGGCAAATCCTACCAAAAGAGTGGTAAATCTAACCAGTTCATCAGTTTACATCTTCATAGCAATTCCTCTTGCTGCAGAACTTGGAACCACACGGATTTTCCCCAAGGTCCAGAAAACTCCTCACCCAAGTGCTTCAAATCAGCCTTCAGCGACTCAGGCTGTTGCTTTGCAGCCTCCTGCAGGTCATCCCTGTGTCTCTGAAAATGGAGGATACCCTCTGGTAAACTAACATAGCTATTGAACATGGCCATTTATAGTGGATTTACCCAGTCAAAATAGTGATTTTCCATAGCTATGTTAGCTTACCAGAGGGTATCCCCAAAATACATCAAAATACATGTACATGTTTCTTGTCAGGAAATTGATGATAAACACGTCAAAGTTTTGGGGCATCCTATTTCAGATCATCCCATTTTGTTGCAGGGTATCCAATGGCACAATCAAACTTCTGCGGAGCGGCAAATTCTCGTCGCAGTTCAGGAAGGCAGGCATCAGCCGGCAGTGGTCGCCCAAAATAATCTTGAAAAGTGACATCCTGAATTCGCCAGCCTGCCGGGGACGGTTGAAACATGGCGAAAACCTATCATCTTCCACATGTTTGGCGGAGAACATCCCCTACCAGCTAGCTAAAAAGTGGTATCAGCACAGCCATGTCGACCAGTCCATGGGTGGCCAAACAGGTGACCGGAGCCGGAAAACGCCTTTCTTGCGCAAAGTCATTCCTCATCGCACCATCGACTCAACGGATTTTGGCCAAGCACCAAAAATGCACCAAACCCCACAAGGCCAAAAAAACAACTAGAAATAGTTGATATGCCAAACCATAAAGCCATATAAAGCCACAAAAACACCAGGGGTCTACCAAAGGATACGCGATTTTCTGGCAACCAAGCCACCTAGCTCCCCCTTGACCTCATAACGCATGCAGGTCCAACCTTTGGCACGTTTTCATGGCAGTGGGGTAAGTTTAACGATCAAAAAAGCTGGAAATGTTGCACCATTGGATGGACATTCTCTGAAAATTTGGCTGTTTTTTTTTCGACAACGTGATGATTGATCCATGTAGCAAGTTGAAAATGGAATAAATGGACAAAATGATGATCAACGATAGACCATGATAGCTTTCGGGTATCCATATTGATGGACGAGATGATGAGAAACCTGGAAATTGGGGGTATCGGGGTATGCTATTTTTCGAACAAACCCATTTGTTCGTGGCATGACCACTTCCCCTCTCCAAGTTGATGGGAAACTTCCTGCGGCCAGTTTTGCTTTGGCAATCTGGTTCCCAAGTTTCCTGGACCCTCAGTGCCCGGCCATTCACATCGCATGGGCCCAGAACAGATCCCAACCAACTTGTGGACTCTGAGACTTCCAGACTGCAAATGTTCCTCGGTATGGAAAAAAAACCAGGGTTTGGAGGGTGCAATCGCACTGGATAGTGATGGAAAAGCATCCAAATGTGCATATGTGTGTATTAGTGTATGTATACATATACATATCCATGTACATATACATGTACATATACATATGCATATACATCTACATGTACATGTAAACGTAGATATAGAATATGATATAGATATTTTATATACATGATTGCACACTGTCTTTCCTTTCAAAACCGCCATTTCATGCCTGCCCAAACGAGCGTGGAGCCGTATCACCGCCACCATACTTCAGACCAGTTTCATGTCCCACTGCATGGCATCAGCCTTCACCAAATCTTCGACCACTGCGGCTGCTTCTTCACCATCTAAGCTTTGCGTCATGTCCACAATGACTTCTTTGTCCTGACATGAGGCAAAGTCAGCGCCCGCACTTGTCAAGTGGAAAAAGTATTTTAAGGCTCAGCCGGGGATCGCACAAAGATTGTTGCCATCCACTTGGAAGTCTTATCCCACTTCTAAGTTTCAAGTTCAGATCCACAGTAATGTGGTAAACCCAACAATCAACCTACCTTTTGGGCATGGTTTATACAAGCCATTTATTTTTTTGATTTTGGGAGTGGTGTATTACTTTGCTTAGCACGTTATCATCTAAAATCCAAAGTTGTGATCCCCAAAAATCAGCTGCCACCTCTATCTGCCTCCTCTCAGCCACCGAAAAATCACGTGAGGCTCGACCAATCTGCTGCAAAGGATCGTGATTCACCATGAAGAGCCCCCGGGACATCTGATCACCTCCACCAGGTCCACCAGGTGCACCAGGTCCATCCTCACGAAATCTCCTGAACGGAAGGTGACCCAGGTCCGGAAGGGGACCCTCCAGTCATGTCAATCAACCCATCCCAGGTGGTGGGTCTGAAGATAAGCTATACCTCCAAAATGGCTAGTTTGCGAGGGAAATGATGAATAGTGGATTTTGGGCCAAAATCCTAGAAATGACGAGAAATCCAGAAATCCCACCACTTTCTAGTGTGCAACTATCATGGGCCTGTACTGTGTCCAGGTGATGCGTGCTTTAATTTTGTCACGTGTTCTCAGCAACAAATGCTATCCAAGCATCTCTCCCAGAAACAAAGTGGTCAGGTTCCGCCTTTTGCTAAACCTGAATCCTTGGAGCGGCATTGAAAGCCCAGTGGGACCATTTTTGCGCAACTTCGTTGCGCACGGAGTGGCCCATCATAAGCGACCAAACACGCGCTCTGTCATAAACCTATTGAAAAAATTGCCAAGTGATACTTGATGAATGGGTATTCCCAGTTCATGGAATATGGGAATACTCATGAAAATCCCCAAGATATCAAGGGTAGGATTTGACCTCCTAGAAAAGACAGGTTGATTGAAAATGCTAAGGTGTTTTTTCTGTTCAGAGTCTTCTCCGCACGCTATTGGGAACTTAAACAATACTCCATAGTGGTTAAAACCAAACCCTCAGATGATGTTTATGGAAAAAAAATATGGAATAAAATTATGGGTTTGTCTGAAAATAGGGTATATTCCCAATTATAGCCATTTAATAAGGATAATGATCATTAACCATATGGGCAGATGTGGAGCAACCCTGCCATGCTCTGCTTAAGTTTCTCTTCCATGAAGCCAACGTCGAATCCAAACGGAGGCAACTGCCCCGCTTGCCTTGGACGAAAATCAAGATGCCAAGTGTTTCCCAGGATCAAATGGGATGATTTGGAACCGAAATCAAAAAAGTGCCCCAAGTGGCTTTGTCTGAAAATAGTGTACCCCTACACCCAATGGTTAATGATCATTATCCCTACTAAATGGCTATAATTGGGGGTATACCCCATTTTCAGACAAACCCAAGTCATACCAGGTCAATTTTGATTAAATTCAGTCTCATCTGGTTGATTTTGATAGATTTGGCTTGGTTTTTGGTAGACTCAGGTGCTTTTGAAAGTGCAAAAGAAAATTCACCAATGCCCAGGGACGCACAAGGATCACATCTGAAGGAGCGATTTTGCTCAGCCACGGAATCACAGGCGACTCAAATTCCCAGCGAATGCGACACCTTCAGCAGGCGACTCCCACTGGTGTTCCCAAAAATGTTCAGACCTCAAAAACTCATCAGATTTCTACCTCCAAACTTAGTTCACATGTACAAGCTGAAATGGTTTTTACGATCTTGAATTGTGGCTACTCTCACAAAAGGAAAAATTGCCTTTGGTAAAGGGAACATGGTGTCTGTCTGTCTATCTATCAAATCAAATCTAATCTAATCTAATTATCTGTCTATCTAGTCTACTCTATCCTGTTCTATTCGATTCTATTCGCTTCTATTCTAATCTGTTTCTATCTAATCTATCTAACCTATCTAACCTATCTAATCTGTTTAATCTATCTAAGCAACTGTCGTTTCTTGTCTGCAAGCAGCCACAAGGAGTATAGTTTAGGTGCTGTTGTTGAAGCACCGTCTGTACCAGCCAGCACAGGAGCAGGGGGGTTAAAGAAAATGGGCCGGGAGTCTTGAGTATGCAGACATGCACTCCGTTACCTGTAGACAAGCAACTGTCGCTTCTTTTTTGCAAGCGGCCACAAGGAGTTTAGTTTAGGTGCTATTGTTGAAGCACCGTCTGTACCATCTGCCTTCATCCTTAACTGGCTTCGACTGTGCTGGCTGCTGTGAGAAGTCTATACCAAATACTGCACAGTATTTTAAAATCAAGGTACCTCAGCGCTGTGGATAGCAAGAGAGGAAAAAACGAATTAAAGCGCTGGATCTTCGTTCGGGTGCTTTCTGAGAGTTTTGGAAATGCTGTGGCAACTGCAATCTCTTGGAGGTATATTGTCATGACACGCTTCCACCTGCCCCTCCTCAGAACAAGCGCGGCATCTTCTGTCCTATTCAAAAGGTATGTGGCTCCTCCAGGGTCTGATTCCATTGACAACTTTCGATTGAAGACCAAGAGCAGAAAGAAGCTGGCCAAATCTACGACGCAATGTCGCCGCTGAGTGTGGCCACAGCTTTTGATCTGCTGAATTGCCAGCAAACACCGTCGAGATCAGCAAAACGATGTCAATTGGATCAATACGAGCTGATTGATGACGAGCTCCCCGACCCCTTGTCTTTGGCTCAGGAACCTGAAGCAGGATGTAGCCAATTCCAGGAGCTGAATCGGAAGGCAGAATCAAATCTTTTCGAACAGCTCCTAAGACCTCTCCAATCCTCAAGATGCCCGTCCATGTTAAGGCAATGATGGCAGCTCCACATGAGGGCAAGTCCAACCAAAGACAGCATGATGCTAACCGGCAACGCCGGGTGATGCTGATGATGTTCGTCAATCAGCCATGCAAAAGCCAGATCCCAAGCGCCTGTAAGCTGCCGCTTCAGAATTGGACGTAACCCAACGACCGCATTGATGGTCTCAGAATACCTCACATACGACTTTCGAGAGCTGTGAAGGTCTCTGCCAAAAGCTACCAGCCCAAAAAATATTCCTCAGGATCCAAAGGTTTCTTCCCAAAGATATCATTCCAGCTGATGCCATGTTCAGAAAAGAGCCAAGTCTGGAACTGCTCAATCAGCCACCCACGATTTTGCATCGTTTGAGCTCGGAGAACTCGGCCTGTAGCCAAATGAATACTAGAGCGCTGCCTCGCACGAGCGTCTTCAGCCGCAGATTCAGGGGCCAAAGGGGCTCGGACTCCAGAAAACAGCGAAAGAAAAATGGCCCTGGCAGGACCTGCTTAAATGGGGGTCTAGGTGGCTTATGCAATCCCTGAGGAAAAGAAAATCAAAAAGGAAGAAGCTTTGGCACGTTTGAAGCGTAAATCCAAATCCAGGCCCCAAACAAAACAACGGCAAAAATTCCAAATCCAACCGTCGAAGAAATGACCCCAAATACAAATCCATAGGCCGAGACATCATCAGCTGGGTGGGATGAGGAAGCAAGCTTATTTTGAAGGAGGTGGCAGAATCTTCTCGAAGGAAGGTGATCAGAAGGGACAACCTGATATAGTTTGCGAGAGGGTGCGAGAGCCCAGAAGAGTGGAGCTTTCTGAGGACTTCGAGCGGCACTGAATCCCAAAGAGAAAATTTGCAAGGCCTTCTAATCTCAACATCTTGAGCAAGGTCATCAGAAACATTCAACTTTGTGGGAGCGAAGGACGAGGAAGGATAGGTAGTACCAACTATCTGTCAAGCACGACCTCGTTGGAGAATGGGCTGAAGCCCCAAACTGCTGCTCCTCCCCTTCGCAAAAGCACCCTTTGTGACTGATGAATCCAGAAAAACTCAAAACCTCTTTCCTGGCCGTTCTTCAAGTGACTGCTTCAAAGGGATGCATAGGCTGAGGACTCAAGAATGTTGATGTGGGACTTCTTCTTCCAATGCCAATCTCTAACCAACGCCAAGCGCCTGTCCTCAAAACATCATTTGAAAGCACCGACTCAAAACCGCCTCCGCACTTCTCTCCGCAGCCCGCAAGGCTGAAGAAAATGCCCTAGCTAAATGCATAGTTACACCACCTGCGTAGATAGCTGATGCCTTTGTGTAAGAGCCCTGGATTCTAATGTGCTTGTGACCTCCTCCACATTTCACCGTCATGCCAACAGTGTCCAGCAAATAGACCAAAAGCCGAAACTCTTTTCTGTGCACTGAACCAAACTGGCAGCTAGCAACAACCGCTTCAGAGCACCCAACGGTCAAAAGCCACTTCCACGCCTTCAACCAAGCCACCTTTGAAAGCCGGGACTGCTCTACACCAGCCGGAGTCTCATTCAGCACACAGACATAGACCAAAAAGAGACAGCGAAATGCCAACATGGTTCCATGAAAAACCTTTGGCAGTAGCCTGTCCCAACCTTCGGGAACTGAGTAACTTCTGCACGCAGAGTGAGCAGCAGGTGAAAATGTGGTGCAAGTTGGTTCGAAGAGAACTGACTTGAAGAGCTTCTGCTGGATCATATGCACAACCCACTTGACCCAGCCGCAGATCTCGTAAATCGTACTTTTCAGAGTGTGAAAAGTCGAGGTTTGGAGCAAACAGTATGGCCAAGGCTTCGCATGCTATCAGAAACCTTTCCAACTCCTCCACAAACCTCAACAAAGTCAAAATCAAACAACGGTGATCGCTCAGGGGAAAAAGGAAAGCAGCGGGAGGTTGTTGGTGGTTCTGCGGCTAGAAGCTCATTCTCCTCGCCGATCTCGGTCAGAATTGCTCTGAAGCCATTTTCAAGTCTTGTATAGTGACCTTTACGATCCCCATCCAACCAGAGCACTTTTGCAAGCAAACCACTGACCTTCCTGCTGACAATGGCTCCTTTTCTGCTCGAAGAGTCTGAGCAAAAACCTCCTGAGAGAAGGGAGCACTCACGTCGGTGCAGATCAAGGGCACAACAGAAGCCAACATCGCCAACTCTGATGCAACCGGTCTTCGAAGAGGAACTATAACGCTTTTCTCCTCCTTCGCCCCAAAAGATCCAACAGCAAAGAACTCTTTGACAATAGAGGAAAAGCCCTTACGGAAAAGCAGCACAGAAATCCAACTACCTGCAAGGCGATGGGCCAAATTTGTAGAGATTCCATCCAGAGCCGCAACCCGAAGTGAGAGCATCGACAAACCGAATCTCTTCACCAAAGGAGCCCGGACAAGGATCATGCCCAAAGAGACAACTTCATCATGAGAATCAACCTCTGCCCCCGCAGCCTTGAACAAATCCTCCGCAACGACGTCCTTGTCAATGGCGCCAGGGAAGCTATGTTTCTCATATGCACGGCGAGCTTGGACTAGATGGCTAAAGACCTCTGAGCTCTCCTTTGGCTGAAAACGATCATGAGGAGCAATGACAAAAGAATCATCGCTTATCAGCGCCTCCCAGGTTCTTGAAAGAGGTAGTGGAAAGTGCCCCTGCAACCTCTGGGAGGCCTTCTGGAGTCCTTCTTGCTGCAGCAAATTCTGATGGCCCAGCCCGGAAAATTCAACTCCAAGATGATCACCCCGAAATAAGGCCTTGAAGCAAGGGTAGGCCTCAGGGGCTTCTCCACACAAAACGGAAGGCCGATGCCAAACACCTCCAAGACGATCACCAATATCCTGCCGCAAAGAAACCTTCACTTTACACTGCTCAGCTTCACGCAAGGCATCAAGGGCAGAAAGACCTGATAGCTCCTCTGCCTGAAAGGACGATCTCAATCTGATGGTAAAAATCATGTCTGTCTGTCGGTCAAGCTGCCAAGGATCTTCTCAACTCCCCTCTTCGCCGAAAGGCCAAGCAAAAGGGGGCCGGGCGGCAAATGTTTCGATGGACCGGACAAATGGAACTCCTTTGCGTTCGGAATCCTCCTGTCCCCAATCTGCCGGTCCCTGTCAACAGACTTGAAAACATTGAATACCCGACAAAAAATGACCATCTTCGACGGGCCTCCTCTCGAGATGAAGCAAGCCCAATGTGTCCCAAATCTTTGCCAACTTCAGGTACTCACAACGCACTTCGAACTTGAAAGAAGGAGAGGGAAAATGGGAGACATGGACACCATGACGTAGAACGGCAGGTTCCACAAAAGGCAGCCAAAGAGGTCCACTCAGGTACTGCACAAGAGGCCAAGACCCCGTACCTGAAATCTTGAATCTGCCCGCATCAAGAGATCGAAAGGGCTGCAGCTCTCATTAAGCCTGTGGAGTCTCATCCTCAAACCTCTTGAGCTATCGGACGGCTTCAAAGCAAAATCATAGCCAGCACCTGCAAGATTTGTCTACTCAAGAAACCTTAAAGAATCAATGCAAGCAACTAATTCAGGGCCGGAACGACCAGGCGGGACTGGAAAGCTGTCTGGTCGGCTTCCACACGCCGCAACGAAAGCACAAAGCCTTCGCAAACAACCAACCTGCAAATCAGCTGGGTGTCCAAGGTAAAGGAATTCATGACGACAACCAAGGTGTGTACAACCCTTCTTTGCGCCAGCAGAACTTCTGCAGACTGAGCCCGGGGCCGCTAGCCGCAAAACACCCTGGAAAGGGGGCAGGCAGCGGAAAAGCGGCGGTGCTTGTAGAACGAAAAAGAAGCCGCCAGATGCCTGGCAAATCTGTTCGTGAAGCAAGCACCCATCGCGGCAAACTCATGGCCCATTGTTGGAAGGTCATAGTTCCAGAAAGAAGATCAACGGCTCTGCCACCAGAAAGACAATTCAAGCTTGATCCTCCTCCTAAAATGTTCTTTTCCTCGAACCTTCTTCTTCGGAGACCCTTTTGCCTTGGCTTTTGCGCATGCCGTGACCCTGAGCCAGCTCTAGAACCACTGATGCTCCATCAAGTGATGCATCTGGCTGGAAGCCCTGGCAAGGTCTGAAGAACCTGCTGCAGCGAAGCATGAAGAGTGGCCGTAGTTGGCTTCTTTGGCTTGGGCACTGGCCCATCTCCTGAAGGAATAACCTTTCCGCAACCAACATTTCTTCTGGTCCTTCTTGCCCTCGGAGAATCCGGGTCCGCCTCTGCCATGGTGACCCCTGGTGTGTACCAAGGGTTCTCCTGGGCTGCAGGGACATGCTGCTGTTAAATCCAGGAGAACGCCAAAGCAATCAGCGATTGAATTTCTGGCAAAGCAAAAGGATCGTCCTCTGAGAAACTGACAAGGGAATCTTCATTCTCCTCCATCACTCTCAAATTCGCACTGACTGAAGCATCGATGTCCACAAGCAAAACTGGAAGGTCTGCACCGATCGGACTCTCCCGCCGGTCCTCTAATAAAACACCTGGAACTGAGAGAACTGTGGAAGGTCCTACTTGTCCCTGACTTGAACCATCCACATCTTCGGCTGGAATAACCCCGTCTGGGATTGCAAGCAAAAATCCACCTGGCCTCTTCATAACAACCAAAGCACGTGCTTCGACGTGCCCATCCTCCTCGTCTGCAGATCTCCACTCGAAAACAAAAACCTCTTCTCTCCTCTGTTAAAGGCACCAACTCTAGCATTTCTAGCTCTCCCATGTCCACACTCATGGGTGAATAGTGAGCAACTCGAAACCGGTAGATCCTGGCTTCCGTCTCGGAAGGGAATGAATGCGACACCGAAGATCCGTGGGAGCCACCCAAAGCGGACCAATAGGATCTGCTGCTTCGGAAGCAGCAAGGCTCAGGGATGCCCTTGGCCCTAGGCACCACCCGGCCTCGCAACTCACCCACAGCAGAGAATTCAAAAGGAGCCACTGAAGGAGTTGGAAAGCGCCTCTCTGAAGGTAACCGAGAGGATCCCAAAGTGGACCGAGCAGCTGTGGTGATCTCAGACACCAATTGAGTTGCCTGAGATGAGGGCCCTGAAACACTGATAGAAAGGCCGCCATGATGTCAACCACGTCGTCGCTGGCGAAGCTGTCGCTCATGAAGATAACCAGCCAAATGTTGGCTGGCTATCGACAAATCCAAGACTAGTTGCTGGGAGGAGAAGACCAGGGCACGGTCTGAGAAATCCAAAGGCAAGTGACAATACCAAGAACCCAGCCAAGGATGAATGCCAATGCAAATGATGATGCAGGGAAGCTGCCAAAGTAATATGGGCACCCCAGACCCCAAAACTTAGTTTTAAGGCCCTGAGCAGCGAAGCCAACAAACCTGACAACTTGGTCCATAGAGTCTTGAGTATGCAGACATGCACTTCGTTTGCTTGTAGACAATCCATGAATCTATCTAATCTATCTAATCTATCTCATCTATCTCATCTATCTTATCTATCTCATCAATCTCATCTATCTCATATATCAAATCAATCTAATCAATCAAATCTATCTAGTCTATCTAATCGATCTAATCCATTTAAATCTCTCTAATCTATCTAATCTATCTAATCTATCTAATCCATCTAATCTATCAAATCTATCCAATCTATCCAATCTATCCAATCCATCCAATCTATCCAATCTATCTAACCTATCTAACCTATCTAACCTATCTAACCTTTCCAACCTATCTAATCTATCTAATCTATCTAATCTATCTATTATATTTAATCTATCTAATTTATCTAATCTATCCAATCTATCTAATCTATCTAATCTATCTAATCTATCTAATCCATCTATTCTATCTAATCTATCTAATCTATCTAATCTATCTAATCTATCTAATCTATCTAATCTATCTAATCTATCTAATCCATCTATTCTATCTAATCTATCTAATCTATCTAATCTATCTAATCTATCCAATCTATCCAATCTATCCAATCTATCCAATCTATCTAATCTGTCTAATCTATCTAATCTATTTTATCTAGCTAATCTATCTATCTATCTATCGATGGATCGATCGATCTATCGATCACAGATCTATCGGTCTAATATCGATCTATCCATCGATCCATCCATCCATCCATCCATTTATCTATCCAATCTAATCTAATCTAATCTAATCTATATATCTATCTTATCTTATCTAATCTAATCCAATCTAACCTAACCTAACCTAATCTAATCTAATCTAATCCAATCTAATCTATCTATCTATCTATGGATCCATCCATCCATCCATCCATCTTTATTTTATATCCTTTATAGATATTCAGTATTCGTGCTTTGTGTTTATGTAGGTATGTATATACATGTATGTATATGTGTATGTGTTGTATTGTAATGTATAGATCTACAGAGCAACTTCTGTCATATCAAGCAATGGCGGATCCCACTTTGCCATTCCCTGACCTCGCTTTCAGGCCGACCCACCTTGTTGTGAACCAAAAGAAACAATGCCGTTTTTACCACCCATGACTGGGAATGGTAATGGTGATTTTTCTGGGGGATTGTTTTTTTTTCCCCCACATGATGATGACTTGCGCGTCCGTAACTTGTCCAAGGTACTCAAAGTCCGGAAGCAACTGCAAAGACTTGGCGATCGAGGACAAGCGCACATCCCATCTCTTTCGAAGGTCCTGCGGCAGTTTTCGGATGTTGTTTCGCCAACAGAAATGCCGATGACTTGGAAAATCTATGCTTTTGATGACAGAAAATGTGATGGAAAAAATGAAAATGCCAAGACTTCGAAATTTGACCGAAAAAAATATCTAAACAATGAGGCTCTTCACTGGGATTGATTCAATAAAATTCATCTTGACGGTAGAATCTTTCTGGTTTTTCAAACGCAAGCCATTTGACGAATCCAGAAACGGGATACCAATCAAATATATGATATTATATGGAGTTCACAAACAAAGTATGGATGGGAGGGTGATCCTAAAAACCACCTGCCTTCTGAGCCGCATCAAACAAGGTCCGCACCAGCTGAACGTCCCTTCGACTTACGGCCTCACCCAGTTGGGCAGTTGAGCAGTTGATGGCCATTTTTTTGGGGGAAAACTTGGAAAAACTTGGAAAAACCGCTAGCCAAATGGCTATAGATCAATACCTATAGATACATTTTTAGTGGGATGAACATCCATTTACCAGCTATTTTGGGATTCACTAGGTACCAGGGTTTTGACCCATCCCCAAATCATCCAAATCGATTTGGGATGTTGGGCCAATGTCTGAAACAAACTCAGCTCATCTGGGATATACGCAGATATATCGACTTTCAACGGATTCAACATGATTCAACCAGCCGAAAAACCTGGTCACTGTGTCTTATTTTTTGGGCCAGACTGACCTGGCCCTTTCATCTGGACAGCATTCGAGACTGACCAGTCAGGCCTCATCTAAAGGTGACCAACCAGCACTCGAGCGCCGCCGTGGCTGTGCACCTGCGCCGGAATTACCCAGATCTAAGCTGTGGAGTGCATGGCTGGGTTGAGGGTCTCAAAGACATGGCTACGTATCAAAATAAGATCCCCCCCATTTTACCTCCAAAACGGGCGGTTCAAATCCTCCAAAATTACCATGTTCAAAATCTTGGCTCATCTCGCGAGGACGCAAGAGCCACCTTGGCTCAGCAAGCAGCTCACCATTTGGGAATACTCCTGTGAACGCGGCATCAGCTCAACTGCCAGCATCAGCGGACTGACCTGAAGGCCCAGTCCGAATCGCACCGGCACCGAAGATTGTGTTGGCAAACCAGAAAAATGAGGGATGCAGAACAAAGAAAATGAAGTATTTCATATATCAGTTCACATAAGTACAACAGCGTCCAACTATATCATCAAGTTTACATACAGAGAACAACCAACAAAAAGGGATGAACATGATGAAAAGTAAGGAATGCTGCGCAGGAACGCCGTGGACATCTTCAGCATTCACATCCTAAGCTGACTTTTGAAATGTGAATCTCACGCCCAAAAATAGGTGACCTATTTCCAGACTATTCTCAACCATACCGCAGGAACGATTGGTGTGTGGTTCTCTCTGTTACACCTGGTGGATCACAACTTTGACTCACTTTCATCTTGAAGATATTGCGAAACAAGTGCGGAGAAGCACTCAAGCAAAGAACGCTTCCTTCAACAATCTAGACAATCGTCCACACATGATCCGATTCGTCCCATGTTCCGTTTTCACAGTTCCTGTCAGACAAAATGGTGGAATATGGTGGAATGCTTAACCCGTCCACAATGTCCCTCATGTGTTTGTCATCATTTTCCCAGTTCAAATTGCCATTTCGGAGGTGTCAATCCGCTCCGTCTCTCCAAGCTTCAGCGCGACGCTCCAATATGGCCTGAACGGTTTCGACGTCTCCCAGCCAGACTGCTGCGTGCAGTTCAGGCCTTAGCGTCGGATGCCGGGGGGAAGACCCTGGGTCGAAAATTGGCAAAATCTGCTGGGAAAGGTGACCAAACGTGGCAATTTGGATACCCCAACCATTGCACTGTGGTTGATCATGTTGGTCGGATCCAAATTCAGGATGTCCAAAATTTGTGACAACCAAAATCCTCCTATTTTCAGGGAAGCCATCCTGGCTTTGATGTTTGAGCTATCCCTGCTTGAGAGGTACCCAGTTGTTGTTGGTCAAATCCCCATTTTGGTTGGTTCGGTACCTGATCAAAAACGATCGCACCAATCGGAAATCCACGCCTCCTTCATCTTGCGTTCGCATTCTTGGTGATATTGATACCCTCTGGTAAACTAACATAGCTATGGAAAATCACTATTTTTAATGGGTAAATCCACTATAGATGGCCATTTTCAATAGCTATGTTAGTTTACCAGAGGGTACTAAATCCCCTACTATATTCCCAGTATATTCCCAGTATATTCCCAGTATATCCCTCATGATTTGACCAACTGGTCCCAATTTTTGACACCTTGGACCAGTTCACTGCTCCACTGCTCTCTGCAGCTGTTGGCGTTCGTCACATATTTCATCCTCAGGACGGTTCATTAGGCGAGTCTCGACGTCCCATTCGGGAGGAATATAGAAGAGATGTGGAGATATCAATGGAAATTTCAGGACCATAAAATAGAGGTACCCTACCAAATAAATGCCATATTTGGGGCGTATCTCCCCTTAAAATTACATGGGCGTGCCTGAAATGGCCATTGTGTCTATATTTGAAGGTAGCTGACTGAATCACCAAACTGGAGATCAAAGGTTATCATGAAAAAAGTTGATTATATCAAAAGGATTATATAATAAATGATCACTAAATGGCTATTCATCTCAAAATGGTTTAGTATGTTATCCACCAACCCCTTTAGCACAGGCCAGAGTTCAAGCCAACTCCAATGACGTCCTGCTTGGAACTGTGCATGCCCGACCATTTTCCCTTCCTATTGAACAACACCAACAAATCAGATCCAGATTTGGCATCAAAAGGTTTACTTTTCAGCCGCTCAATTTCGGCATTGTTCTGGTCGTGGTTGGGTACAGCGCCGCAAAACCCCATGTTGTATCATCATGTTGTTGGCTAATGCATCTTCACCATCAAATACAAAAAAAAATGATCAGTATCTCCACGAATTGCAGGGTAAATCCCCCATTTCAGTTGATAACAGTGATAAATGTCCCAATTTTTCAAGGCAAGATCTCTTCCTGGGGATGATAAATCCCCCATTTTCCCCAGCAAGACATGTTCCGCGCACAAAGCCACGGATGCTTCCGAAGGTGGCGAGAGCGGGGAATTGTCATGGACAGGGCAGCGGAGCGGTGGCGACAGCAAGTGCCTTAGCCAACTCCAAAAGATGCAGAAATCGTTGCATTTTTCATTGTTTCAATGGCATGTGTGCGACATGGAACAACTAATTTAATTTTTTTTCAGCCGTATGAGGTTCCACTCGGGATCAATCCAGCCAGAGTGTCAGAATGTTTCATCCAACATCTGGAGACATTATCATCGATACGTTGAATTAGGACAGGTCAACATGCAGGAGAAAATTTTACCGATTTACCTGATGTTTTTTTTTGAATGTACAGTTTGTCGAACAATTTTTACCTAATATCTTTGGAAAAACGGTCCTAACCTGTTTTGGCACACAATGTACATGCAGGTGCTGATGTGCGATGACAGGCGATGACGGAAACAAACACGCCAAGGTGAAAAATCAACTGCCCCTGATCCTTAGCACAATGCAACGGCTCATAGGTTCTGAGTTTCATACTCTTCCGGGCCGAAACATCGGTCTATCGATACACGCCATGGGGGCATGGCAACATTGGTCGCTGGCAACTCTTGTCAAACACATTAAATCAATGAATCGACGTAGAAACGTGTGATCGGCATTCCGTCCACCCACATGTTCAGAAACCAATTGTTGAAGTGGCAAGTCATCTCAAGGGTGACCAACCCATAAACATCCATAAACAACAAACTGCAGCGGTTGCGATCAACGCACCAAAGAGTGCAATCCAAAGCAAATGCATGCGAATGGGTCGGCGATATTTATCGTTGCACATAGAAACGTCGGAAAACCCGGGAATCCAATAGTCGTGTTCCCCATTAAATGGAGTTGAATGAATCCCCAGTTTTTGGACAAAAACCATGCAGACAAAGCGCTTCAATACACTGATTTTCTTGCTGGTACATCCACGCATTAGTGACTCAGTAGTTTAGTTTATTTCTTGCCACTGGCTGTGCGTTGCATGAGTCACTAAAACTAATTGACATGCAGGTCTAGGCAACCTGGCATGGTTTCGGATGATCTTCGGAAATAAAGAAAGCTTTGTTTGGTGCAAGTTGCAATCAAAGGCTGTGAACAAAGGAGAACAACGGAGTGAATTAATGTTATTTATATACACATATATGTATAGTGCCGGACATACACTTTATACATATTTTTTCCAAATTTTCAGATCTCACACTTAGAACCGCTTGCTTAATGATTTTGCACCATAGCTAGAACATCCCACTTAGAACATCTGAGCAACATTGCCCCTGATGTTCTAAGTGTGGGGGTTTTTGCAAGCTACTGATAGGTTTTGAACATTATCATGCATTATCCCATCATCAACTCTGCGCACATTTCCCTGTTTTTGGTCGCATCGCTGGCATTTCAAGCTACTTTGGGTGCTTTGTTTGGCAATGCTTGCAAGCTTGATATGTACACATCTCAGCAGATTTTCCCAAGTGCCGGTTGCATAGCGATCATTTCAAGCTGATGTCAATGCCTTTGTTTGGCAATTCTTGCACACCTCATATATACACATCTCTGTTGATTTTCCCAAACAGTTCCGCTTCAGATGTACCTGACAGAGATTGGTCTATGTGTGGAGGGAATCTCACCAGACGGCGGTTCTAAAATGAGAGATTGGACAATTTGGAAACATTGATGTTCTAGGTGATTGTCCGTCACTATAATCGTTTTCATATGTACATTTGTATAGTTCAATAATTTGCATGAAATATATATATATATATACGAATTAAAAATACATATATATATAATATTTTTTGACTGCAGCCAAAGCCTTGTTTCGGGGCCTTGGGATAAAGTGCACTTCCTGCAGATCTGTCGGCAATGGCAACGAAGTAGATACCGTCAAATGCTGGGATGGTGTAGGTAAGCATTTGGGATGTTCTAAGTGTGGGATCTCCACAGCAAAATGCTAGCATATATATATATATACATATATATATATATATGTATATATGTACCTTCTGTCAGCCGAATTATGAATCCAATGTGGAACGCGTAATCTTCTGATTCGAATCAGAAATCTTTGAGATGTGAACTTAACTCGAAGCACATTTGGAATCACCATGTACATCAACACTAAAGCGTAGTTGAATCAATATTCAAGCGCAGTTCAATATGGGATGTTCTAAGTGTGGGGTCTCCACAGCAGAATGCCAGCATATATATATATATAACTGTCAGCCGAATTTTGAATTCAATGTGGAAAGGGTAATCTACTGATTTGACTCAGAGATCTTTGAGATGTGAACTTAACTGGAAGCACATTTGGAATTCCCATGCACATCAACACAAAAGCGTAGTTGAATCAATATTCAAGCGCGGTTCAACATGGGATGTTCTAAGTGTGGGGTCTCCACAGCAGAGTGCTAGCATATATTTACAGTACATATATATATATATAGCTGTCAGCCGAATTTGGAGTCCAATGTGGAACGGGTAATCCACTGATTTGAGTCAGAAATCTTTGGGATGTGAACTTAACTCGAAGCACATGTGGAATCACCATGTACATCAACACAAAAGCGTAGGTGAATCAATATTCAAGCGCAGTTCAATATGGGATGTTCTGAGTGTGGGGTCTCCACGGCAAAATGCTAGCATATATATTTATGTATATTTATGTATAACTGTCAACCGAATTTTGAATCCAATGTGGAACGCGTAATCTACTGATTTGATTTAGAAATCTTTGAGATGTGAACTTAACTCGAGACTCGAAGCACATTTGGAATCACCATGTACATCAGCACTAAAGCGTAATTGAATCAATATTCAAGCAAAATCCAGCATGGGATGTTCTAAGTGTAGGGTCTCCACAGCAAAATGCTAGCATATATATATATATACATATATATATATATGTATATATGTACCTTCTGTCAGCCGAATTATGAATCCAATGTGGAACGCGTAATCTGCTGATTTGATTCAGAAATCTTTGAGATGTGAGCTTAACCCGAAGCACATTTGGAATCACCATGTACATCGACACTAAAGCGTAGTTGAATCAATATTCAAGCGAAATCCAGCATGGGATGTTCTAAGTGTAGGGTCTCCACAGCTTTATTTAACTGTCAGCCGAATTTGATTCAGAAATCTTTGGGATGTGAACTTCGCTCGAAGCAGTTTTGGAACCCCCATGTACATCAACACTAAAGCGTAGTTGAATCAATATTCAAACGCGGTTCAAAATGGGATGTTCTAAGTGTGGGGTCTCCACAGCAAAATGCTCGCATAAAAAAAAATATATATATATATTTATGTGTTTATTTAACTGGCAGCCAAATTGTGAATTCAATGTGGGACGGGTAATCCAGTGATTGAATGCAGAAATCTTTGATATGTGAACTTAACTCGAAGCACAGGCTCAAAGGATATGGTGAATATGAATTGGCCTTCAAACCAAGATCTTTAGGATATCAATTGAAAATTGCGGATCTATTTGTGATTGGCAGCGCCCTTTTGATCCTCGCACAAAAACGCCTACGGTAACATCCATGTATTGCACATGCAACTGTAGCTAAACTGACATGTAAGGTTCGACATGTCTGCAACTAAATCCAAATTGAACTGCACGTGTACTGCAAACAAATGGATATGTCCTGGAGTGAAATTCCATTCACCCCGCCTCAGATGCGACTTCTTTTAAGTCAGCAGCTGAAGTCTTTGCAAAAAAAAATCTACCAAGGCTGTCTTCAAAGCCTTCACGGCAAAGGGCAGTAGATTCTTATTTCACCGTTGCATGTTAAAAACTCTGTACATCTTTCAAGACTTCTTTCAAGTCTCACCTACGTCGGTGTACATCATTCCATGGGCTTCTCTGATTTGACCTTCGATCTGTGCCATTGCTAAAGAGTCATTGTGCCACTGTGCACGTTCCCAGTCAGCTTCCAAGCGTTCCACTCGGGATCGAAGCACAGCATTGGTCTCCAGCATTGATTGCCTAAGCTCAGGCGACAGATGTGAGGTAGATACCTCAGGGTCAGCAGTCAGAGAAGACTCGGATCCTTCTTCTGCTTCGTCGTGCTCATCAGTCCATGGTGGTCCATAGTGCATGTGGCGCCAATATTCGTCGTCTGAAACTTCACACATCTCACTATTCAGGTAACGGCGACGTTTCTCTTGCAGGGTTTCAGCTTTTCCTTCATATATTCCCCAACCCATTTTAGACTCAAGTATGTCCAAAACTTCATGTAACTTTTGGTCCATGCCTTTGGCGAAGGTCTCGCCTCTTGCAACTCCCAGTGCAAAGCGCAAGTAGAAGCAAACAGCCAATGCACCACAGAGCAGCGTAAGCAGGGCTGCAATCATCACATTCTTGTAGTCCATGAAGCTTGAGCTCGGGCTGAGGTCAGCTGAAATTGCATCAGTAGAGATTGCCATAGCCATTTCCGAAGGACTCAAGGCGAGCAGGAGGATTCTCAGAAATTGTTTGGGGGCGCTATATCCTTGTTCTTTAAGAAGTCGAATACTGGCCTTCATGTTGTCCTGTTCTTGTATCTTGTCATAGGCATTCATGCCAACAAACTCAGAGGTGTCCATGTTGTATACTTTGCATAAACACATGAGGTATTCCATCCTATCCTTTGCTAACCGTTTGGTCCCCAAGTCTGCAGGGTTCTCACGGCTGGGAACTTTTGAAGGAACTAAACCTTTTTCTTTCACTCTTTGCTGCATCCACAAAACACGAACACTAATATGACGAATACGTCCCACTCCAGAACGTAAAAAGAAGGATCTGCCTGCTGAGTTGTCCATCTTGATGAAGGTGACCACTTTGTTCTCTCCTCCAACAATGAAACACAGGCAGTATTCCAACAGTACACCATCGCAGCATGCGCTAGTTGCTGCATAAATTTCAGCTTCTGCTGAAGAGAGTGCTATCGCTTTCTGTGATCGTGAACTTGAATACAGTAAGTTCCCAAATAGGAATATGAATCCAGAAGAAACTGATTTCCTGGTTGAGCGGTGTTTCGCCCAGTCACTGTCTGAAAAGACTTCCAACGTGTAGTCCTCAGGGGTGTAGTGCAAAAGTCCATGGTGACCTTTGTAAGTCAAAATAAGACCGTTTTCCATGCATCCCAACAAGTACATACACAAGTGTCGCAAGCATGCAAACGCGTTCACTGTGGGCTTTGACATCGACTGCGACAACGCACGTATGCTGTATTGACATTCGATGTAGTCACTGGAGATATACAAAAGAATACCAATACATGATCTATATATCTTTGCATATTGGGCATCCAACTCTTTGGAGTTGTCGGGTTCATCCAACAGTGGGTGGCCAGGTGTCTTCTTTGGCATCAGGCTGCGTTTGATCTTCAAAAGCTCAAACAGTTTTTCAAGGTGTTTCGGGTGGCTTTGTATGGCTAGCTGGTTTGGGCTGACCATCACATGTTTCCTCTTCAAGAACGTAAGTTCATCACCCTCGTTGCAAACTACATCCAACGATATCTTGTACTTGGCACGCAAGGCTGGTACCAACGTGTTGTTCAGTTCTCTTTCACCAAGCAAAGAACATCATCGACATGCA